TGCCACATGAATATACTCTTCAGATGGATTGCAGTATTGCTGCTATAGCAAATGATTCACTTTCAATAAATACATAAAGGTTTTTAATGCTGCACCCTCTCACCCCAATACTAACAGAAAATTAAGGACGCAGGGTCGAGCACTAGAGAATTAGGAGACAAACCCTACAGCCTCTGCACCCTCGGTTTGGGCCCCTAGAAATCCCACCCATGAGGACAGTCCTCCCCCAGGAGCCCCAGGACAGAGGTGCTCTCGGGATGTCAGGGACACACGGTGGAGGCTGTGTGCAGGCTCCTTGCCTTTCGAGCTTAATAATCCCCCTCCCAGAGGAAAAGGAAAAACAACAGATGTTTGGGAAAAAAAAAAAATTCCAACATTTGGCAGAATGTGTTAAAGTTCCCAAATAACCTGAGTTTAGGGAACCAAACCACTTTCAAGGACTTGCAGAGACTCAGGCTGCCAGCACCCAAAGCCCCTGCATTGTTAATTACTCGGCATTTAGACAGCAATGCCCCCTTCTGAAAGGGATTTACGGTCTCACACACAAGTGTTATGGCCCAGAGCGTGGACACTCATCCCCAGCAAACCTGCCAGTTTCAATAGGACCTGCAGGTCGCCGTGGAAAAAAAAAAACTGCTGTACTCTGTGGTGACACCAGTGCTGTAAAAAAGCATCAGCTGGCCAAAGCGCTAGATGTGATGCACAGAAGACCTGCAGCGAAGGGAGGTTTTTCTTCCACACTAACAGGTTTTCAAGCCCAGCTTAATCTTTCATGAGCATTATCCTCAAAATCTCCTTTTATTCAGATTTCTGAAAGACCGCATCCGATTTTGTAACTCAGATGTCCAGCTTTCTGTATTGACCCACTACTGCCCACAAAGCTCCATCTCGAAGCTTTATTTCTCATATTCCAGCCTGCAGAAATCTCTATTTATAGGGACACTGATGGGAAACAGCTTTTCCATCTGATACAGTCTTTGAACCAGACTGTGCCAATCCCATCTGGTTAAGATCTTCCAGGTCCTGTGCTATATATCTAGGAGAGCCCAAACACTTTCAAACCTCTGACAGCAACCTCACCATCTCAAACCATCCCATTAAAATCTCAAACCAAAGAGGACTGTACTCTTAGCATACTTGGTACAAGTGTTTCTGTAAACCTTGCCATACGGTTGCTGATGGAGATGAGCAAGCGATGGGCTACGCTGATGCTCCAGCACTGACTTCTGGCATCCTTTCTGCTGCCGTGGCTGTCCAGCAGATGTTAAAATCAACATCCCAAACACCAGTAGCTGTAGAAACCCCATAGGAGGTTTTATAAACAAGACCCAATTCCAGTAAGTGTATAGGTATTACAGTCATAAAAGCTTTCTGCAGCTGACCCAGAACAACGTCAGCAGGATTTCATTCTAAACTTCAGGTTCACCTAGATCTGACAGACCTTACGAGGAGTTTGGGATTGAGCAAGCACAGCGACTGCACTGCGTCAGGGACTGGTTCCTGGAGCAGCTACAACTTGTCCATCCCACCTTCCCCTCCGAAACAGGAGCAACTAAGTACCTTAATATATTAAGGGGAGCACAGCAGGTCATTGCCATCCCACTTCCTTGTCCTTGCTTCCAAAGAGACAGAAAAGTGATGGTGTTGAAAGAGGGGAGGGGGAAACAACAAACTCAGAAGACCTCTTTCCTCTTCCACCCCACAACTGATATAACCCCCTCCTTACTCCTCCATTTTCAGCTTCTTTGCAGCACTTCAACTAAAATGAACTCTTCGCGTACAACTCGCATCCCTCTTCTACCAGTGCTCAAGTGCCAGGAAAACAGACCAGACAGTAACTGGTACCCAGTCCGAATTTAAAGCAGCTCATTGCCCCTGAGGTTGCAGGCTGCAAGCCTTACCCTCGGTTATTGCAGAGCTTTTTGCACCTTACCCCCCCACCGCAGGTTCCCAAAGTCCTCTGAAAGCTCTCACTGCACAAGGGCCCTGCAGCAGCGGTTTCACAGCTGAAGAGGCAAAGTTGCATCCTCAAACCCCACAGCAACCCCAGGCAGAGCCAACGCAGTCTTTGGTCTCCACATCTGCACCTTTACCCTTAGCTCATCTTTAAGCTTGATGCTTTAAACAGCATGCAGGACAGAAATCCCAAATGGGAACAGCACGAGAGGTAAATCCCAAAAGCCAGCACTCAAGCAGATCTCCATGCGCTGTTTTGGGGTCAGAGCTGCAACAATCTAAAGGAGACTCAAAACTGCAAACCACACACCACAACTGCGCTTTTTTGCATCCCTTTCTATTATTCCCACCCCCTGCCACAAGCCAAGGTCAAGCGTGCACGGCCAGAAGGGCAAGACAAATTAGAAAAGACTAATTTACAGCCTTAGAAGCAGAAAGCATGCCTACCCATAGATATCGAGCACACCGATGAAGGAGTGCTGCTTGACGGTGGTGTGCAGGGCCTTGTTGATGTGCTGCACGATCCAGTTGAAGAGCTGGGCGTAGATGTGCTTGGCCAAGGCGTTCCTGGCATTCACCACTTGCTGCACGGACATGTTCTTCACGTAGGTCTCGGCCGTGGTAACGAGCTTGCGATGGCAAAGCCAGTGCTGCATCTGGCTGTGCTCTACGCCCAGCAAGCCGCAGAAGTTGTTCAAGTGCTCATCCTCGCTCTGGGGGTAACAAGAAGCAAAGTCAGCAGGTTGGTGACACTCCAAAACTGGAGTTTTAACAGCGGGTTCCCAGATCAGTGCAAGAAATTAGCAGCATTTCATAACTATATGGGGAAATACTATGTTTCTCTGTGGTTGATAGGAAACAGAAAAGTGATGAGCACTCATCCAGTTATGCTAGTCTTCACGGACACGGATGAAACGGCTCACACGGAGCTCTAAATGGTGGTAGACCCTATGGCTTTCCTCTGCTCTGGCTATCCTTAAGGTCTTGAACTTAAGAGCAGATTTCCACGGTGACTGCCAACAGGAAGAGCACTCTCCACTTTACTCCTCCTTGAGCTGCAGCTACATGCTCCTTCAGAGCAACCTTGATTAAGCCTCAAGCTAAAGCTTCGGGTATGCCATTACAACATGCCTTTTACAAACTAACCCCATTTTGAATAACAGAGTTGCAAAATGCGCGTTGTGTTTTGCATAATCAATAAAATGGGGTTGTGTTTTGCATAATCAATAAAATGAAACGTGAACTTCATTTTCCCCCAGTGCACTGTATTTTCTCCCCCTCAAACTAAGACAAGGCAGTTCTGAGCCTCCATTACACTAAGATAGCGGGCATTGCCTTTTAGACAATGAGAAATCAGTTTCTCTTTCCTCAGTGCAACAATACATATCTAAAGGAAGTAAATTGTTTCTAGTTAGATACATGCTTGTACAGGAGCTGGATGGGTTTGGGGATGGAGAGAAAAATGCATTTCAAAAGACCTCGAAGATGCTTTTTTGCTCTGGTATCTTTTTGACCATGGATTCAAAGTCATAACAGGATTGATTTAATACCATGCAATTACATCTGAAGGTAATTAAACAACATGAACTCCATTACAGATCTCAACATTGTTGGAGCAGACCACTTTTACATATCCATGTTGCCAAATATCAAGCGAATTACCCCCAGCATCCAACTAATTGCACACCACATCATCTCAAGGGTACCACTAAAAGTGTGTGCAGAACCCATTTTAATACTTTAATTAAGAACAAACGACCCAGTCTGGGATACAATGATAATTGACAGGACAGTATTTTCCATATAGTCACTTCCCCCCCCGCCGAACAAACACAGAAACAGGAAAAACCACCACAAAGGCATCTTTAGTCTTATTTATTCTCACTAATTAACTGTGCAGCGCTCCTTTGAATACTGGATGGCCACATTACAAGCAGCAGCCTCATGGCTTTGCTTGTAGCAAGGCGGTTGTACAGCATCACACCTTCTGTTCCCCCAGTACCCTGTGCACCAAGTCTTTTAAGAAAGCAGGAAAAGTTAAAGATAGGTTAGGACTTAAGGTGGTAAGCGACCTTTGAATCATCTCGCTTATGGGCTAGAGAGGAGAAATAATGCGCTATGTCCCAGAAAAAACAAAGCAACCAGGAAACTCTGTGTTTTCAAAAAAAGCAAAGAAAACTAGGAGGAAAAGGGTTTCTACCAAAGCTGTGAAGCTCAACACATCCAACGAGGCCTGATTTATGAGCATACAAAGCTCCCCATGTGCCCCACTCTTGCTGGTCACCTACCGATACGCTACAGGCATCGCCATCGCGTTCCGCTTGGATTTCCAAGTTCCCTAGGTGCAGAATGGCAGCAATTATCCTAAAAATGGTCATCTGATGAGACTCCTTCACTCCTACGGGAACAATTGATAGCTGATTTTCACAACAGAAAACAAACTGCAATTTTCAGTTTATTTGAAAACGCTTGCGGTGTTTGATTTCCTTCCCGGGCTGTTGGTTTTCAGACTTATCAGACCTCTCCCAATAAACTCACCATAAACTCTCAATAAAGTCATCGCTCAAAAATGACAGCTGAAACAGCGAGAGGAGCTCCTCATGTTATTTCTTTACCCCTAACGATTGCATCAAAGCAATTTTATCACAGATGGGTTTAATACTATTGTGAACATGCACGAAACCAAGGATGCTACTCCATAATGATCAAACGGGATCAGAGCTATAGGGGCTCTGCGGCTTTTATAGAACAAGGAGTTACTTCTCTGCGATCGTAGCCCAACAGTGATATCTCACTGACAACTGAAGCACAGAGGTTACAACTTATTGCCAGTGTCCCACAAACAGAAGAGAAAATAAAAGCCGTGCACATGATGCACCACGCCTCCAGACTGGTGCTACAGCAAGTCACCAGGGAGGTGACGTGAAGCTCTGTCTTACGGTCCCCAGTGTCTCAACAGGAGCTACGTGTTGTGGGTCTTCACTGGGGTGTAAGGTGTTATTGCTTTATGTATTTTTTTTCTGGCAGGCCTTTGCAGGCATTCCCAGCAGGAGCTTTGCTCAGCAGCAGCCTGCACACAGCTTTCTTGCCAATTCTTGCATTTTTACATCCCAACTGGGTTTTTTGTGCCCCTTTTGTGTTCAGTGCTGGTGTCCTAATTATCCACCCAAGGTCTGAGACATCACCTGCTGGTTTTTGAATTATCAAGAGCTTCCCTTTCTCTCTCTCGGGACTTTTCTGTTATCAGCACAGTCAGAAATGTTTCAAGGTTACTAAAAGGAGCAATGCTCTGCTGTTACTTGGCTCTCTTAATTGGAGTTAAGCCTGGCTAGGGCAGCAATTAGCAGATAAACCTGACTTCTCCTTGTTATACATAAAAAGGCAAGACTAGAAGTGTAGTAGCAATTTCACCAGACCCTGAACAGAAGCAGACAGAGCTGGGAAATACTGAAGGCAGAGGAAGCATGTGAAGAGCAGGAAAACATCATCAAATTGGCAGTGGAGGAAGATGCTCACACAGTGCTTCCTAGGGACCAGCAAGGAGACAGGAGGTCTCTTTGGGGAGGAAGAGAAGGGGACCAAAGCGAGACTGCACATGGCAAGGGGATGGGGAGAGAGTTCCCTGGGGACTACCGTCCCGTGGGCAAGTTTGGAGCAACCAGTGGAGTCATATTTTTTTGAGTAGTTAACAGAAGTCACACAAGCCAGACAAGAGGAGGGTAAAGACAAGACCCCACCGTCCCCCCCCCCCCCCCCCCCCCAAAAAAAAAAGGAGATCAAGCCCATGTAAAACACAAAGAGGACAAATTTGGGGGAAACATTTGCAGTTATAACACTTGAAATGAGTCCCCATGCCCGCTGCCAGCACAGCGCAGTGGCTGTGATACAGCGGCTCGGGGAGATTTCACAGCTGGCTGCCAACTGCATCACGAGCTCCTCTCCCAACATATGAAATGCATTGGAGAGACACTGAGAGTTACCGGGATTTAAAAACTTGGCTTCAGATACGTATTAATAAACTCTGGGCAAGTTCTCCCCTGCAAAAATTGTTTTTCCTTTTAAACAGTCACGGCTGCAGGGAGGCTATGGCACTGTGTAACTGCAGCGTGCACGGGTTGTTGCAGCAGCAGATTTTGCAGCTGGCCATACAAACATGGACTCTGCAAGCAGGGATGTACTCAGCTCCTCAGTACAATACTGTGATGGTCCGAGAAGTCACATCACCCTCAACTCAAACACAGATTGAACTGCAGAGTAATAGCTCTTTTCCTGCTTTTAAATAGGGTTTTAAAAAAAAAAAAACAACCTCAAAGCTGCAGCAGAGCTTTGACTCCAAAACAGTTTATTTTGGTTACTCTTAAATTCAGTGTCCTCCCTCCATTTCACTGTCGCTTTGCAGATAGCTGCAAGAAACACTGCTGCAGCTTATACTAAAGAACAAGGTAAAGCCAACTAGGTCAATAGGAAGATGGATTTATACCTCTTAGTGTTACAGGAAAGCCATATAATTCAGGCAAAATACTGAAAAACATTTGCAAGAGACTTCTGCTGGGAAGCCTCAAAGCAGAGCAACCCCTTACCAAGCAGGGTGAAGGCATGCCTAGTTTTCTCAAAGTCATCAGCATCATCCACGCCATCGATAGACGTGTCACCTCCCTGAGAAGTGTAGAAAAAGTCTTCGGCACATGCTAGGAGAGAAGAAACAGAAGAAATGCATCAGCAAGCAGTAGCTTTCAGGAGCGTGCACTGGGATGCTCCCTGTCCCCAATCCTGCCCGTCCCCGAAGGGCACCCATCTCCTTTGAGCTATGGTTTACTTAGAAATGGATAAAGTATTAACCTTGACAAGTGACTGTAACTACTTCTTGCAGTGATGAAACCCCTTCCCCATACAAAGCAAGTTCAACCAGGGCAGAGCTATGGTATATCTGGAATTCGAATAGCCGCTCTATCGCACAGGTGCATATTACTTCAAATACTGAGGTTACTACTTTCAATTTTTTTTATCCTGTTTTACATACCCATGACCAATTCAGACATTTTAACACCTTTCCCACATAATGCCTTAAACCCAGGGAGCAAAGGGAATGGAGAAACGCTCACAGTGCCAGCATTACATTTAAGCATCTGTGCTTTAGCAAAATTATTTCAGGACAACGCAAAGCTAAATCCTATGGAGACCAAGAGGCATTTCAAATGCAGATACAACAAGAAGAGATCGCAGGATTTATACCCACTTCAAAAAGCTTCACATGCAATTGCCCTTCCTTAAAACAAGGGCTTATTTGAGGCCAAAACTATCAAGATATGTGCCCAAGGCTGCCAGGCTGAGTCCTGGCAGTGCGGGAGCAGGCTTGGCCCCGGGGAGGGCTGGGGGGAGCCCAGGAGGTGGACAGCCTCCCCATCCCACCCAGAAACGGTTCTCAGCCCCGGCTTCGATTTGTTTCAAACCGGGTAGGAGGGACTCGCCAAGAAAAGCTCAGAAAGATCATTAACACGCACAAACATATTTCCCAAGTACCATGAAAAGAATGAGAAAAACAGCCTACTGTGCGTTCCACATCGGCCTGCTGGTAACCTTTAAAATCACTGCAATCTGCAATTTTTTGACTCGCATTGCCACCAGAAGGTCCCCAGCCCTTCCCAGCCCTCCCGCAGGCTTTTGCATTAGCTGTACTTTCAGGCTGTAAAAAAAAAAAAATTTAATTCTTTTTGGCATACAAGTCCCTGGGACCCGGAGGTTTCAGTAACTCTGCTCGTTGCCGGAGCATCAGGAACAAGGGGCAGAAAACGCTGATTAGGGTCAGAGAGCCAATGTCCATCCCGGTCCCCCTAGCACAGCGGGAGCTCACCCAGCCCACGATGGAGCACATCGCATTAACAGCTTGACGTTGCTGCATGTTACCCTGCAAGATGCATCCATATGTTTTATGCAGTGGTTGATGGAACCGGGACGTGAGCCTCCAATTTTAACCATCCACATTGGATCTGCTTCTGCCTCAAGTCATCTCTGTTCTAACCAACTCCAATATTTATATTTCAGTATCAATGATTTTAATAACCACAGAAACCCTTCGATTCACTATACACAAATAAAGCATATTCTTGCTTTGCATCATTGCCCAGACATCATTAAGTTAAACACCACACTTCGAAAGGCACTGCGTTGCACACTGACTCCCGTATTTTAAGTCAAGTATTTTACTTTCTAGCTTAAAATCAAGCCTTTAGGATTGCTCTGACTGAAGAGCCAACACTTACTGGTTTGCTCTGCTGGGCTCACATAAGTTTAGAGACTCTCCTAATTTTCCAGCATTTTGCAATATAAAAGAGAGTAACAATAATTCTTTGTATGTGCAAGACCCAAAGGAGAAGCAACAGCTCCTGCTTTTGATATGGAAAAATATACATCCTCCCCTCTGCTTAATAAAAAGGTGGATTTTTACATCAAGATACCCCTTGTTTTGTATAAGCCTTGGGAAGAAAAGGTTGATGGGTAGGTAAGGTACAGCTCACATGAGGAGATAAGTTCGAGTTTTGACTAGTCATCTTGAGATACAGGCTAGTAAATTTGATGCAAAGTTGGTAATGAAAAAAATCCCTTGAAAGAAAGAAAGGAAAATAAGGGAATTGTGCACACCTGCATTCACAGAAAACTGCCCAACACTAGTAATTCAAGAGGTCAGGGAAGAGCCTGGTTCACCCCAACAAAAGCAGCTCACGGTGCCCACGTCCCGTTCCCCCAGAAGCCGTCCCTGCCGAGCGCGTGAGCAGCGCTGCTTCTGCCAACTACAAAAACATTTCAGGGAGGTATTTTTAAGTTATTGCAAGGTGACAATGCAAGAAACACCAAAGACACGCACCTTGAATTTTGGAGAGAACCACTTCTTTTGCTGCTGTTGCATTTTACCCAAATGCACCAGGCTGTGCGGATACCTGTGCACGCTGCGATACAGCAAATGCACAAGAACCACAGAAAAGTGCAGCTGGAGACTGACATGCACTGACAACATAAAATTTTGATTAGAAATGACCCGAGAAGACTTCCTTCTGGGCTAGCGGCCCTGGCACCCACCAGCTCCTACACTGCCAGCTGTTGCCATTACACATTCTCCCTTGAGACATTGAAGTCGAGAGCCACAGTCACAACAGCATAAAGATGTCCTGGATGATGCACCAGGAGAGCAGGCAGCTCTCAGCCTTCAGTACCACCAGTCATCACAAACACAGATGATGCTTTGAGAGAGCTGTGTTGAAAAAGACTGAGATTTCCTCTGATCCACATGTTCCCAAGAAGAGAAAGGTGGTTTCACAGCCAGAGCTCTGCAATATCAACTTGTCTCCCAGACTGGCTTGAAATAATTTATTTCTGAGTTTTAAGATGCCAGCAGACAACATCATTACTCAGCTTATCTTTGCAAAAATGAAGCGCATAACCCAGTGACAGAAAATCTTGAAAGTGATGTGCTCTGGGGTCGTGTGAGCATGCAACGGGACCAAACACGGGCTCTTTGACGGTAGCTGGGAAGCCACTGTCAGAGGAACATCATTTTGGGACCCTTAGAGACCAAAAGGAGCCCCAGGTTCACCACAAGCCCTGACCTTCGGAGCCAGCTTCCACACTATGGCTGGGGCACAGTGATCATGCAAAACCTTCACCTCCCACCCAGGTCTCCTGGGACAGACATTAAGGTTACACCTAGACAGTCTCAGAAGTTATCTTATGCCTTAGCAAACTCACGGATGTGGTTGTCTGGTTTGGTGCCACCGGGCAGAGTATGGACTACAGCTGGGTAATGCACCGAGGTTTACTGGTGACAAGAGGACAAGAACAGCAGTGTTCCCATTTCAGCACCAGCATGCAGTAAGTGCGGCCAACGTGCCTACGGTGACCCAAAAAGTCATTAACACAAATCCAGAATTGCTCAGAAACCAAAAGCCTCTCTCTCAATCTACCACTTGGCTGTAGCCGCCACGGAAACCTCTGTGAGACTCTGCAGCAGCAAGATGCTCTCCGTTGGGATCACAACCTGCCTTCCTCGCCATTTTAAATACTTAAAAGCATGTTTTAAGCCTCACTTCTCTTTTCAAGCAACAGCAAATATTCAAGATCAAAAATTAATTACACCACATCTCTGCACCCCCTGCTGCAAGTGAAAAACCTCTTATTCAGGTGTCTTACAGAGGTTCTGCTGCAAATACTGGGAAAAAACCCAATTCAGGATACATCCCAGGAGTTAACCACTGAAAAAATGTAATGGATTCAAAGGACACAACTGCTCCTGCCAAGACTCTGGTCAGATCAACCCATGCTCACACTTCATTTAAAAGACAGATCTTTATGCAAGTTTCATACAATATTAACACATGACCTCCCTGCATCAGCTGGCATCTACCACGGCATGTGGTTCACTGTGGTTCTGCACGCAGTTTCTACAAAATACACAGCCTTCTTCCACCATGGCTAACCTCCAGCAACAGCTCCTGCCCACCAGCAGGGCCTGCAGGAGCCTAACAGCACCGACCAGTGCAACATAAACTTCAGGCATTTTATGCAGCAAGCCGCTGCACAGCAGAGGTGACGAGGGCTGGGGTCTCATCCAAGGTACCACATCCCTAGAGATGGCATGAGCAAACTGTGCACCACTGGGGAGAAGCAGCCTTTCAAGCTCATCTCCCCTTACCTCCTCCCACTGAGCAGGCACACACGACCTCATCAATGACCTGCATTTCTAACCCCACAATGTCTTCCCGTTGTCATCAAACCCGGGCAGCGGCCGCGGAGGTAGAAGTACTTACTTAGCCCAAGGTCTTTGAATTCTGGAAGACTCGCCGAGGCACAAAGCTGATAGAAGATGTGGTAGTTGCGCTCGTCCTCCGCCTGTGGAGAAAAATGCTGAGTTAACAGAGGCAAGAAGAGGTTACAGCAGTGCTCCCACCCTCAGCCTGGTGCCACCCTGACCCCATCCGCCTGCTTCCCACCATCAAGACTTTCTCGGTGCCACCAAGAAGATGGGGACCTTGTGACACCTGGGAAAAAGGAGGTGCCGAGCCTTGCCCTTACCAAAGTACATTGCCCATCTTGGAAAGGGAAAAAATAACTTTATATTACCCTCCACACCTTATCCCTCTCTGGGATAATTGGGCTAAGTTAGCTAGCAAGCACCACATTGCAAACTGACAGCAACATTAAAAGAGGTGGCCTATACTCGTGGCTTCCCAGCGTTGTTTGGTTTTAGGATTTTTGTAGTTGCGTGTTTTTTGTGTAAGGACAAAAGTTTTGCACATGCTTCTGAGGTAGGTATCAAGCACAAACCAAGAAAGTTTGTCCTGAGCCCTGCACAAGAAACACACGGGACGTGCCATGGCAGGCACGTCAGCCTCCTCAGTCCTTCTCCTGCCTCCCATCCATCTTCAAAATTTAAAGCTATTGCCTACAATTCATTCTTCCTGGCTTTTTATGAGCTTCAGTAAAAATCTCAGCAGCTGCCCAGAGAAAAGCTTTCCATCCCTGCCCAGCAGCCAGGCCTCTCCTCAGGGCTCCAGCCTCAGGCAGATGGAGGGAACAATCAGGGGCCAACAAACAAGTCTCCCAGGTACATATTCCTCCAGAATAAGGTCACCAGGCTGGGATTATCAAGGACAACTGCAAAAGACTGAGCCTGAAAGACATGTCTGGAAGCCGTGTCCACCAGGAAAGCTACCTTTTCAAGTAATTTTTTTAATCCAAAGAAAAGACCTAGACTATTAAATTCCCGGAGTACAGCACCCAAAAGACAGAAGAGAAAGAAAAACAGCGCAACCCCTCACCTGGAATACAACTCGTGATTTTTCCAACAGATACGTCCTCATGTTGGCACCAATGATGTGGTATCTTTTATCAAAGCCGATCTGAATGTATTTCCCAAAGCGACTGCTGTTGTCATTCCTTGTTGTTTTAGCATTTCCAATTGCCTGCATAAAACAAAATTAAAAATTAAATTAAAAATTAATGTTTAAAATTATTTAAAGATTTAAATTTGTAATCAGTGTTACATAAACAGTCATGGGAGGATTTGAGGAAAACCCCTTCCCAGATGTAGAAGGCAGAGCAACTACATGACTTTACGGAGGACTCTTCACTAAAAATGTGGCGTCTCTAGAATTTTTATGGAAGAAAAATGCATATAAACAGAAATGAGTATTTGTACAGTAAATAGATCATCTACATCCCAACAGCCACAGCACTCCCATTTTGTCTTATAGGATGTCCCCCCCGTGAACACTGGCTGCTTTCCTGGAGGGCACATGGGCAATGAAGCCCTGCAAGAGGGAGGGAACCAGCTGCAATCTGTCTCCAGATGTTTGCGCTTTGGTCCATGGATTTGGTGACATGGCCAGAGCCCCTCCGTGCCTCTGCAGAACCTACCTGTCACCTCCCGGGCAGGTGATGCTGCCACATGCAATGGCAGAAGGGAGAGGAGAGAATCCAGCCCACGTACAAATATCAGGGGTGCAGCACTGCAAACACGTGAATGCATCAAGCAGCCAAAGAAGCAACTCATGGTGATACAAGAACGCTGGAGAAAGTCAATATTCCCATTCGTGGCTACACCAGCCTTATTTTCTACCACCATTCCGCTGTCCTGAGATGATGAGCCTCAAGCAAGCATAGCAGAAGCCATAAAAGGGAATGGACATATACAGGAAAGAGCCCTCGGGCACCTCTCGAAGGCTGGCTGCCTTTCCCAGGCTCTCCTTGCAGACGACCTCAGCAAGCCCTGCTCCTGCCCCATCCGTCCACCACCTCTGCTAGCTAATGCACCTCCTTCTCCCAAAGCCCATTTATTTACCCCTTTTACTGCAGGTCACCCATCCCCATCGCTTACAGTGCTCCCAGACCCACAGCCGCCACTTCCCACCTCCAATCCTCCAGCACACATCCCCGGCCATACATAAAAGCAGCAGGGCAAAGGCAGAGCACATGCTCTCCACTTCTGCCCAGAGCCCAACACCCACCCCCCAGGGAAAGAAGAGGTTCACAAACTGCTATAGCAAACACTACAACCAGGGTATTTTACAATCCAGAATTACCATCATCACCTTATCTTCAATTCCTTGTCTATAAAGTAGAGATACCTGCCCCAGGGACATACATCCCATACATCAAACACAGTGCACCTCATTGCTAAGGGCTATTTCACAATACACACATCCCTCTACTCCATCTTCACACTTTAGCTTTGGGTTTTTGCAAACCAGGCAGTTCTCTTACGGTTTTTGCGTGGGCAACATTCTCAGCAATTTCCAATAAAGACAGACAGGTTCCCTGGCCCCAGCACTTAGAAATTACATCCAGAACTGAACACAGGCAAGAAAATTAGAGCAATAGAATTATGGGGTGATATAAAAGAATAGCGTGCACTATGAATTTTTCCTTGGATGCTTCTAAGTGTTCCCAGGTATTGCAGCTACATTTCACAGAGGCACAGGAGATGGGTGAGGAAAAGAGTAAACCAGCGTGAAGCCCACGCTGCGGCACATCACCACGCATCCTCTGCCCGCACGGCTTTTGTTACTGCATCTGTGCCATCACTTATTTTGTCGTTCCAGCTTGCACCCCACATAGGGCAGCACAATGCTAGACCACGTGTGCTGATGCGAGGTTGGTTTTCATCCTGGATCAGCCACCATGTCTATTAGCCAATTTGGCCACGAGGCACTGCGGTGGGAAGCCTCCCTGCAAGTTAAGCCAAGCCTAAGGTTAAACGCAGAACACCGCTACGCTCTGCTACAGCGGCACTGCTAGCTCCTGCCTTTAAAAGAAAGTCACATGTCTGAAGGGCTTAACTGACTTTAGAAAATCCCAAATTTTGTCTTCAATGCTGACTTGGATATTTTGCAAATGAAGGCACTCTGACTCCAAAATCTGTTTGGAAAATGGGATTTAGGCACTCAGACATTTATTTTCACCATCTGGTCACGGTGCAATGAAACGAAGCAGCTTTCCCTTTCTTTTATATTTGTAAAATAATTTTTTTCCATTAGAGCAGGGATTTCCCTATAATGGGACTTGCTATTCCCCTACATGATTGATAGGAACAGAAGATTAACAAAAATAAAACTGCACTGAAATACCTCAAATAGATTAAGTAATCCCTTTCTCTTCTATTTCATGCCTATACAATTAAAGAAGAAGATTAGGAGATACCATGCAGTGGCAAGAGGAGGAGAAAGATGAAGACGATAAAACACCAACGGTGCCAGCAGCACCGCTCAGGCTCTCCGCTCCGGAGCCCCGATCAAAGCCCAGCTCCTGGAGCCGTGCTGGGGATGCACAGGCTCAGCTTCAAGACCATCAGGCAGAGGAGTGACTGGGGTGGGCTAAATGGAGGCTATCACCATATTTCTGTATTTTCAGACCAGCTCAGGGTTGCTGTGAGGCTGCAGATCAGGTCTGGCTCACAAGCCCCTGTGGCTCTCGCTGTTTTAGTGACGTCTGGAGAGACACAGTGATGACTGCAAGTAGGACAAAGGAAATGATGCAGCTTTTACCTCCATAATTGGGCTGGACGCAAGGACTTTGGCTTCGATATTGGTCTCACTGGCAGAACCACCGACGGTTGCAAAGAAGCGCATGGCGTATTTGGCAGAGACCGTCTTTCCAGCACCCGACTCTCCACTCACAATGATGGACTGGTTCTTCTCATCCCTGTTGCAGCAGAGAAGAAAAGCTTTTGTAAGTTAATCCATTTTCTTGTGAATAGTTTGTTCACATCACGCAACAATCTTCCATCTTCACATGTCTCCGTCTCCCTCACCTTGTTACCACCTACATTATGGATGCTGGATTTATTCTAGACTCTACCAAAGTAATGGTGAATAATACACAATTGTGATACATCTCAGCTAAAATGTAAAGGACACTCTAAACATCTCCAGAACATCTCCAGGGGCTTGCAGAGACAGCGGGAGATGAACCCCTGCATGAAGCGCTGCTTCTTTCTTCACCCCTGGAGCATGTCGCCCAGTGTTGGGAAGCCCACTCCTTATGTGCCACAATAACAAACCTCTGCTGCATTTGTCTGGAGAACTATTAACAGGCATTGGCTGAATATCAGCTTCTAATATTATATATTTAATTTTTCCCTCCAACACCTTCACTCTAGCATTTAAGATTTTGCTCAACAAAACATGGGCAATTAGTTATGAAAATTGCTCGAGTAGCCTATTGCTGAGCTATTAAAACACAGATACACAGAAAAGTTCCTCTATGCTCAAAATACATTAAAAATATTGAATTTGTGAAATCAAGCACCCTAAAATTAGGAAATAGCAGAAGTCATCTGATTCTCTATGCAATTACACAAACATCAGTATTTTCACACATATCCCAACATCTGGTTAAAACTTTGACAACAATAATACAAAGCATGTATCTGACACCAGACTCACACCATCTATTCATCCCCAAATCCTGCCAAATTGTATGTTACTGCTCCAAAGCGCAAAGGTACTTCTGGGACCAACAGGTAAGAAAAAGAGGATAAAGAGTTTAAAAGCAATTCCTGGTAGACATCACTAAGTAAAGTTTGTTCAGCTCCTGAAGTTTTGCAAAACAAAGTAGTTTTTAAGAAGGACTTGCTCATTAACAGAAGGATCAGGCAACCTTACCCTTTCTAAGCACACACCATATTTGCTTACAAAAGGACACAGGTGTACCAGCACCAGGATAACAAAATTCAAGCAAATACACACCGGACCTTTTTATCTGCACATATGAAAATGCTTGGCAGGAGTAGGAAGCATTATCCTGGCACTGAGGGGCTGATGCAAACCCTTCTCCAGCCGTGATGGGAGCAGATGCCACTGCCCCATCCCTGGGCTGGTGCTGGGTTGTGGGAGCAGCTCTGCCTATGTCGCCACAGCTAGGGCAGACCACCAGACACCTCCAGGGTACAGGACTTTGCATGGGGAAGCTGAGGGTGCGTCACCTCCTGTAGCTTTTGAGCCTTGCACGAAGCACGTGGCCTCATCCAAATGCCTTTTTCTACTTGCAAAATTAATCGTTCACACAAAAAAACTTGCACAAGTCATCGTGGCTATATTACAATACCCAGTTCTTCCCACCACAGGTGCGCAACACAGTACCCACTAGATACGTCCCAATAATTAATCAGTTTAATGTGCTTGAGCTGCAAGGCAGAGAAAGGGCCAAGGCAGTAAGAGGAGCTCGTTTTCAGAACTACACCCCTCTAGGCAAATATCTGCCGGCACTGGGAGCAAGTGCCTCTGCTGGAGTGGGATCCGCTCCCCAAGGCATCACTGGCACACCACAAAGCCAGCACCTCTGCAATTTGGCCGTGGACTTTGGGAAGGAGAGAGTTTTCACTGCAAGATTTGATATACAAGCTCTCAAAATATCAGAGCTCTTGGGGTAAACTGTAAGTATGTAATTACGTGTGTTTTTAAATAAGATCAAATTCAACTTCCTGGACTCTGCCCAGCTTTCATGAATCACAGCTGAATACAGGCACAGAAAATCCTACATACAAGCACAATAAATTTACACCTTGCAGTTCCTCTTGACATCAGGAAACACCATAAAAATACATTTCAATTTAAGATACTCAGTTTAAGTTTACACCAGTGAGAGAGGAGAACAGAGGCTAAATGATTGCCATATACCACTCTTGCACTTTCAACAAAAACACAAACACGCTGCAACACCACACCATTACGTTCCTCCACTGTCAGGCATGTACATCTTAATTTCTTCTAGGCTGAAGATAATGGGTTTGGAAAAAAACCTCAGTCAAGTCAAACATGTAACATTTTGGTGCAAACCACAACTTCCCAACACTTCCAACAGGAGAGGACTGGCAAGCTGATTTCGGGCCACATTTATATTTTTCAGGGATTGATTCATAAAGTACATCTTAATCCATCCGCTGGCCAGCTCCACCGCTCTCCTGGGCATCCACCAGCAGGATGGCAAGAGGAACCTCCAACCACTCCAGCTATCAGGCAGTTAATGCAGAAATACCAGCCGTGAACCGAGCACAACCTCAGCCAGGCAGCCGAAAACCCGGAGCCGGTGATCCCGGTGACTCACCCTGGGTGGGGACAGCCTGCACATCTAACTGAGGACTTGCTAAGTCACGGCTGCGTGCCCCCCGCACATCTTGGCAAAGCCACAGTGACTCTCCCGCAGGCAGCCAGCTGGCACGATCCAGGCGTGGGGCTGCCAACACACCAGTCTCACACCTTTAGACTTCCATGGGTGTGCAATAAAGCTCTTTATGTAGCAGGAGCCACCAGACACATGAACCCAATGGAGAAAAACCACTGCCAGCTCCAAAGTGAGGAAGGAAGACGAAGCACCAAAAATAGTAGTATGCTAGATAAGCCCATAGCAGCAGTTCCCGGGACAGGTGATGGCAGTGATTTATCACCGTTTATCTCCAGTTAAAGTAGGTGAGAAGTTTCATGCCTGCTTTGGTCATCTTCACGGACAACCACTTGCTGAGCTCCACCCGTGAATGTTCCACATTGGCCATCAGTAGGATGCAACGCATAAAAGTCATGTCAGCTACAGAAGAAGGGGCAGGCAGAGGTTTTGCAAGCACAGATGAACAGACTTATCCTTCATCAGAGGTGAGGGAGAAGCAGAAGAAAGAGGCGACAACTGAGATCTCTGCCAGCAAGTGCTGGCCCTGCAAAAGGAGCTCTGCAAATACAAAGGTGGGCTTGGCTTAGAGCTGTACTCCTGTAAAAGTTACTTGAGAATTACTGCCTCTTACCCTTTTCAGTGTGACAGCTACTGCCCCGCGCATTTCATTTATTTTCCTTTAAGCTGGAAGATGAAAACTACACCAGTCTGGGAGAGACTCTTCAGCTGAATGAAGCCAATAAAGCTCAAAAAAAAAGGAATTATGTATTACTAGGCATCCAGTCAGCACTGCTACAAGGTAATATTTTGTAACCTATTTTTTTTTCTACCTAAGTTTCATAATTAAGACCGCTCGTTACCAATTTTGACATCTTTCATAACTTCTCCACACTTGGGGTGTGCCTGGCTGGAGGAAGCACAGACCAACCCACTGGGGAGCCCGTCCAAGGAGCTCACCAGACCCACAGTCTCCGCAGGCTTCAGGTCCCATCACAAACTGCCATTTACATCGCATCCCGAGTAGTTTTTCCATCCCTCTAGTTTGTCTTTTTAAAACTACCATCATTCTCCAAAAAACATTGAACCTAGTGATAAAAACCACAGCCAACACCATTTAATGCTATTGCAGCCGCTCTGCCAAGTCACATTTTTCCAGTGTTTCTCAAGGATTTGCCCTAACAGCTGATGTGCTGCTACATGAAATGGGCCAGGTGGGTTCTCCGTGGCACAAGAAAACTTCTGGAGTTGTATTATATTAATAAAACAAAATAAAAAGAAAGCTGCTGGCTTCCAAGCAAGACAGCAAGGCCGCTCAAGCTCCTGCACTGGCAGTAACGTATCTCTTCTGTTGCTGTTTTTTTGGTGGAAAACGCACATTCAGACATTTCTTTTCCAACTTCAGGAATAAAAGCCTTCGGGAATAAAGGCTACAGAGACTCTCCCTTCTTTGGTGTACAAGTTAACCAACTGCTGGTGCCAGCAGGGAAAGATAGATGAACCCCACGGAGCGGCTGGTAGCAAACAGGCTGCTCAGTGAGCAAAAATGGTTAAAACCAGGCAGGACTTGTTTGTATTCAGCGTGGAATAAAAAATACTGAAATGTTTGGCCATTGTGCAGGTGCAGTGTGCAATACGGCTGCTTGAAATACAGTCAATTCTGGCAGCATCAGCACAGAAGAAAATTATTATGGAAATAAAGCCTGGATAAAATAAAATGTTATGGGCAAATACTGGCTCTGCTGCAGCATGGCAATGCTGTCACACCTCCTCCCAGGGCTTATGTGGACTTCAGGCCTGCTACCATGGCTTGTTAAGCTGCTACGATGTGCATCAGTGCTCCTCTCCTCATGGCAAACAGCTCACGCAACGCACACATGCCAGCACAGAACATGCTCACACTCGTCCAGCAACGCAGGGCGTGCAACGGGGATTAGGCTTCAACAATGGCCAAAGATGCTGTTTCCACCACGTACCACTGCTACAGCTCAAAACTAGGTATGAGGCACTTAGAGATGCAACTCCCCAACCTTCACCCCCGTGGGTCTGCAGTACTTTTGTTTCTTCGCTTAGAGCGGCTTTCCAAGATGACCCACAGCCTGGAAAACTAATACCACGATCTCAGCTACAACCTCCACCCATCAGAGACGCTTACAAAACCATCAAGGCACAGAAGTCCAACCAGAACAAAGTCCAGGGTTTTTTCTTCAATGCAAGGGGCAACAGCACCTCCAAAGTTGAGGTGCTGCAAGTGTTGGTGGCATCTGATACAGCCTTTGGACTGCCGTCTGTCTGTGCAATCCGAATGTTTTGCTTCACTTTGCTATTTCAATGCACCCTCTTCAAGCAGTAATACCTGTTCATAAGCTGCTATGCAGGTGAGTAACACATCTCTTGTTTTGCAGTCATTTGTCATGTTATGAGCAATACTCATCAAGACTCTCACCCTTGGCCACACACACAATAAGAGATGGGCGAGGCATCCAGCCAGCAAAACGAATAAGGCAGTCACTGGAGTTCTCACAAAACGTGAAAAATATCAT